AACAAGTGCTGACAACTCATAAATTCAATGAACTGGCCGCGGTCACCAGTTTCGCTGTGATGATTGTTGTTCGGTTGGATTATGAGTTACAGACAGAACAAGATATGTCTCCATAAAACACAAATATTTGAGCAAAAAAAAACTGGAAAATCCACGTGGGCCCATAAAATGTTATACAGCGAATTTTTATGATGAATCAAAATCTTCAAAATGGGTTGTTTCAAGTTCGATTGTCACAGTATTTTGAAATTCAAAGTACCGTGAAATTGAATCAAGAAAATCTTTCGTAGATCCAAATAATCCGGTAAATAATGCAGGTTGGGATGAATAAAATAGGAAAGGGGGGAATTTAATTATATTTCACCCCTTTTGTTCACAACATTAGTCAAGCACAACGACGACTAATTTTTCGTTATGCACATCCCACTCGATCCGACCCCCTTCTCTTCATCCATATCATGTCATTTTGTTGACCGTCGTTTGCTCCATATCATGATATGACTGTCTGGCAGTTAATTTTTCACTGAGTGAGAGCAATCAAAGGTAGGAGAGGATGTAGCAACAAACAAAATAAATGTGACTCTCATCCGTCTTCGAGCCTCCACCAAGACCTATAATCAACCAACATTAATTTTCTCCAGGCCAGAGCAACGAAGTAACGACCACATCCAATCTTGCAGACTATATTTCGTCCCCAGTCCGGCAGCAATGGTCATTCCTGTTGTATCATCATCATTATCATCATCATGGTGCATGAGTCAGTAAGGATCCAGTTCTAAGCATTACTCGTTGGAAAAAATGACAGACCATTCTTTCCTCCCATTAGAAATGGATTCGTGTGTGATGAAACTTTTTTTAGACCAAGATTCATTTTACCAAGAAAATGAAAACAAATGACACACGGCATGAAGGAAGAATACATAAAGGACACGTCACAGCGATCAGTTGGGTACAAGCGGAACTTTGGCCTGGGCAAATGCAACTTTTCAATTATGTTTGTCCGGCACTTTTAGCTACGTTTTAAATGCATAAGCATTATACATAAGTACATATACTTTGTTCGCTAAAAATAGTTACGGAAGGAAAATATTTTTTGGGCACCGATTACTTCGAATTTTTTGCCGTTCCCGTATAGCCAAATTTGAGCAAACCCTTCGACATTTTAGAACATATGAAAAATTCTGAGTTTTTGATATAATTTTCTGTTTCAGAATAAATAAAAATTTCCTACCAAATTTTTTCCAACTGCGAAAAATAATAAAAGAATTTTGGGTTCCGGGTAAACGTAACTTTAGATTAAAAAGTTCCGGGCCATCGTGACCCACTAAATGCTGCGACAGGTGGGTTACGTTTGCCCAGGCCAACGTTCCGCATACCCGTCACCAGTTAGGTAACAGGCGACAGCAGGAAAGTGGGGTGACCGAGCCAGGTAGGCAATTCGTTGATTTATGCCCTACAAACTCTGAGCCTTCTTATTACTCTGCCTACCGGTAACAACATACATATTACTGACATTATCCATGATTAGCTGAAGAACTAATAGCCAGTTGAAATTACTCAGATTACACAAGGGTCCCGTCGTCCCCTCTTCTCATGACTGACAAAACCCATTATCTTTGACACTCCAGCCAGAGATATCCTCTCGAAACTCAACTGTTGTTCACCTGTCGCCTGCTTTCATCGTCATCCCTCTCTTTCGGCTTTAATTGTATATATAGTTCATATAACTGTCGCATCTTCTCGTGCCTGCTGACTCTCTGTCGTTTGAATGACAAAATGTGTACAACCTCAAAATGGTCAAATTCACTTGTGCTTTTTGAACGCTGAAAAGGGAAATTGCCTCAAAATTGAATTATACAATAATTATAAGAGAAGCTTGATTAGAAAAATTGTAGCGTTCTCAACTTTTTTTTACCATACACGTTAAAGTTTATACGGCAAGGACATCTCATCCACAAACCAAAGTTTCAAAAATTACAATGAATGACAAACAAATAATAAAAATAAGTACACTACGAGGTGCATTAAGATGGCAATGGTCATAACAATGATAATTCAAGTGGAGTTCGTTATAAATTCGGCTGTTGTGCATACATACGCCGGTGATTAACCGGTTGTGTTATTGTTTCAAACAAGATGCTGCTTCTGTCGGATGTTATGATGATGTGAGATTTTTCTGTACCCGTTAATTTTGGGTTGAGCCTGACATACAATATGCATGTGAGATTCTAACAACGATAAGTGTGCACTAATGACATGTATAATTAGAATCCCAATACATAGGCTCGGCATTCGTATAATTCTTCCATTATTTTAATTTTTGACAATGGATTCATAGTACTACCAAGAAGCAGCAATCATCAAAATTTCTCTTGACACTGTTCTTCTAACTATTATGGTGATAATAACAACAAAACATAACTACTAACCAGCAACCAACTAATAATCACTGACTTCTGCTCGGCTTTATTGTTTCAAAATTCTCAACATCTTTCCCTTTCATGGGTCGTACTTGTAGGAAAATGATTGACAGAACATTACATTAGCGTTAGTGGCAGGAGGGGTGGTGAACTTCTTGGTTCATGATATTTTTCCCTTCCGTCTCTTGATAATAAATATATTTTACTGATACTGCACATCTACCATTGCTGCATGTGCATGGAAATCGGGTGTGACCACAGAAGAAAAGTAATCGCCATGGTGGGGGACCTTGAACTCCAAGACAAATGAATTATAGGAACATCGACATAAATCTCAGATAACAAGACAGAATGAATTTGATTTCGTCTCATCTGACTATTTTAATAGCTGATTAAGTGAGGCTGGACGAACCCTTTTGATCACTTCGATTCATGTCAAAGTCAAAATAGACTGATAAGTTACATTACATAACAATTTGAATGCCCCAGCTTACTTTTGGAGTTGAGATGAAATCAGTGATATGAAAATCGCCTGGACAGTAAACCAAAACTAGAAATCTGCCGATTCTCGTTTCAGATTGACTGAAAAAAGTATAAACCTAAACATTACGATATTTTTAAAATAACTGGCGAAATCAAATGTTTCCTAATGGTTTAGAAAACATAGTTACGAATTTTAGGACCTGAGACTTGAAACATTACTCAATTGTTAACTCGTTCTAATTAATTCAGAACTTTATCCAGTTATTAATAACATTTGGGGTTAACTGACCTTTACCACCTGTCAATTATACTGATCTGGCAGACTCTTATTGAGCAAAAGCCGTCTTGAATTATTGTTCAAGTAATATGTACGTAGCCACCAAGTAAGTAACCAGCACAAAGATTAATTAAAATGGTAAGTGATTTTTGAATGGAATTAAACCCGTCGCCTCCTATAAAGTAAACTTGTAATCTCAAATCTACCGTGTAGACCTGAATGCGAGATAAGTAATACTATTAGTGTTGATGAATACCGTGCCGAATTAGCTCGTTCTTGAATTCCAAGTAGTGATATGCATGTATGTAGGCGAGTGAAATTTAGCTGACCAGATTTTGTATGTTATTCAGGTAATTTAATGAATGCAAGGTTCGTAAATAATACTGGACATGGAATGAATCACAATCACAAAACAAGAAATAAACTATTCTGGCCAAATAATCATGTCAGATATCATGTTTAATTCATAGCGAGTGGTTGTTGTATTCTACTCTGAATTACTTTTACTTGGGTTGTTCATATGGATGTGTATGCACACATGAATGCATCTACTGATATGTATGGGTAAGGTAGATACAAATTCGGAGGACTAGTGGGTATACCACTTTTGTACAAGTTTCAAAAATTTCAGCGGCCCCATGCGATTAAAATTGGTGGTTTTGAGGTTGGTTAGAAATGATAAATGTCGAGACAAAACATGATTTAATAGAAAAAACACGTTGGAGTCTACCTATCAACGCCTGCTGCGAGTGAAAAGCTCTGTATCATCTTTTACTTTCAATGGTGGAGACTCACTTTATGGGCAAATATGATCATTTAAAACGCAGTGAAGACCGTGGAACACCTGAACATATTATTCATCCCCACATATATCACTCGTCACCAGCATAGGTCATCCCAGGTCGGTCTCAAACGCTTGTTGAGGAAGCTTCACATTCCTTTCGAAACGTCAAACTACATAATATTACGTTAATACTGCTGACTAAATTACAATTAAGAAACACAACGACCGTTCAATTAACTACTCGCCCAGCTTGCATACAGTGCAATGCAATATCATACAAATTTATCCAAAGATGAGAATGCGATTTATTTGAGATTTAAATTTGGCCAAAACCATTCAAATTCTCTCCCACCCACTCTCGCAGATGAATTAACGTCATGATAAAATGAAGTACCAGAAAAATTCATAACTTTTCTGTCAGAACTGACAATGGGAATGATTAGAGAATCTCAATTTTAAATGAAATTGGACATCTGAAAGGCTCCTTCAACATTACATACTAATAGAACATGCATATGCACTATTATTGGTGTGAGGAAGTTCCAACTACGGGAACGGTTTAATTTGAATCCCTCCCAGAGAGTGAAGTAAAATCCAACCACCAACAACGCAATGGACTTTTAACTTTCAATGTCAGAAAAGCGATCCAGAATCTAAATGAAAATACAGAAATTTTGACGTGACACGAACTACCAAACGTTTAACACCCAGTCAGAAACTGCTCTAATACTCATTACTACCATCCCCAATGAGAAGCATTTAGTTTCATGCATCGAACCTAACTGAACAACCTTTTTGAGCAATTTTGTGTCATGAACTCTGATCTTTCCAAGTGCTAAACCAGCTATCACAACAGTGTTCTTACGATTAGTGGAAAGTACTTGGTAAATAAATACGTGCACATATTTATGTATCTGTGTATGCTGCTACTAGTCCTAGTCCGCAGCTTTCTAATTGAAATAAAGGGCATATTTTGGTATGCAGTAAAGAAAATAAACAAGACCCTCGAGTTGCTAAGAGGTGTCTTAAATCTTACCTTTGAGCTCCATGTCCGTGATCGAGGACGAGAGGAAGGAGACGGGAACGGAAATCTTTTTGCCAGGGACGCCACAAGGTCCATACTGGAGAGTCCACGGCTTATCGATGTACACGGGGTGGTCGCCCGTGAAACTTATGTCCGCGGAATTGCTTGATTGGTACGTGGCCGTAGATACTTCCTGGTCCTGACCGGTGCAGTTGGTATTGGCCCAATTTGAAGGGAGCAATAAGCTTACTGTAACAAAAGCAAGAGTTTACAGTGCATATAAAAAATGCTTTTCAACTTCTTAACAGAAAATCGTGGCTTGCTATGATAATTTATAATTGTTCTGGTATTATGAAAAAATTAGTTAATTCCGCCAATTATTTACCTTGGCGGAAGTAAGTTTGTCCTTTTGTCGCCTTATAAAGATGGTCGGATGTTCGGCTAATTAGGTCCTGGAATAGAACAAGAGAGTTTATTAGGCATTAGTATTACATTTTAGTTTGAGGCTCGTATATGCATCTTCCTATTGTGTTGAAGCAAACAATTAACCCGACGAGACAACATGTACATACATGTGTGCATAAGTAGTAGTAAGTATAATCTACGAGAGAAAATTAAATTTTCATGGGTGTGTTTGTAAATAGCATCAGGAACCAACTGTCCCAGTTTCAGTTTATTTATTCAGCCGTTAAAAATAGACCTTTGTCGTTTCAGTAGAAAATGAATCACTCATTCATTTGAGCTATACTTGGACTGAAAAAGTAGAAATGATAATAAACAATGATCAACTCTATATGTATTTATAACTGACAAAGGGGAGAGCTGTTTAGCATTGCAACATGAATTAATGGATTCGCGCAAGACAAAGATGTGTTCAAATGATTTAAAATCGTTTTCAAAAGTAACGTTGTCATTCAAAAACTCGTCCTTATAACAGTTGGATCAAATATTCAATAAGCAAATGGTAAGAGCAGCAGAGTCGCTGGCAATTGAATTATTAATGTTATAACACAAGGATAAATTAATATTCAATTTTAGGCTTGCAATAATAAGTTATGGATGTGTCGTGAAGCGAAATTGATGCCACATAAATAGTCGACGCACTTTTTGTTGCGGGCAATGAAACGATGAAACCCAGGCTCAAGTTGCTAATACATGCATAGCAAGTTTCTATCCACGAATACCAAAGATCACAGCATGATTTTTTATCCACCAGTTGCAAATGATTAAATTGGCAATGCAGAAAATACACTTGATCCAACAAAGATGAGACTTAACCAATTGCTAAACCAAAAAATAAATAAAATGGAGCCCTTGATTTGTTGTTCGCAATATGGATTGCTATTTTATTGCACTTTTGCAAGAGGCAAATGAAATACAAATAGTTCTCAAGATGGTATTACACTCTTGGACATGTTTTGATAATCTTTCTGTGTCCTAATAACAACTTGAGAATGCTAAGAACATATTACGGTCACGATAATAAAACTCCCCATTCATTCACTCGGCACTACATGTTATAAATATCTACATTACAAGTTTGGGCATGATACGATGCAACAAATTATAGATTGCGACTTTCTCGGATGAGCTCATTATATTCGTACCACAATCAATTAATGAGCACACAACATTTTGCCAAATTATTTTTTGACACGATTAACATGCATATTGAAACTAAATACATACATCGAAATTCGACAAATTCTTTGTATAAAAACAGATCGATACCACCTAAATTCGTGACATGGGCATTAGCACAATGGGTATTACACGGATTCCATTTCAGTTATGAATAATCGTTCCGATTCTACAATTTGAGTAGAATACGTCACCTGCTGTTTGTTAGCAATAGGAGTAGCGATAAGCCTTCATGAAGCGGATCGGTCAGACATGTGTATAAGCCTGGGTGGAAAATAAGCTGTTTGAAATCTGAGGAAGAGGAGCCCTTTGTAATTTGTATGATTTTTCACAAGTCACTCTCCAAATTCATATGAGCCGTGTTTTTAAATCTTGTTTTTCCCAGCAGCAGCGTCCCTTCAATGTAATGCCACTAATCAAATACAAATTTTCTACTTTGGCTCACATGGACAGAGCCACTTGGCTGAATAACAAATTACGAATTAAAATATATGCCCACACCATTAAATTCCAATGTATGTATTCCAATGTACGTAGACATCCCCTTGTCTAATATCACAAAAGTCGAGGATGGAATACGTGCCAAAAGCTAAAAAATCCGGATAAGACATGCTAACCAGTCAGGAATAAAGAGAGAGAGTCGTCCAGTGCCTTACATTGAATTTTACTGCTAGTCATCATCAAACCCTACAGTCATCAGTCCGACAAATAACAATGCCCTGTAATAGTAATCCGCACTGCTGTGCATAGCATCGCCTTTTCTCATCCTCGGTTAAGCAGGATGACGACCATCTGGCCTAGAACACCAAGTTCGTCTTTAAATTTTTAAGATTCTCAAATCAAAGGAAGGGACGGGCTGCATGGGCGATTTCCTTTCCTGTTAATAAGCAGTGTGTCCACGGAAAGCAGGTCTCCAACCAAACAACAATGGGCAGAGCTATTCTGGCTTTGCATGCATATGTTAATGCACGCATTTCTCTGTCAACCTCTGTGCCCCATATCCACTTGCTTACTTTTACTTATAAGGACAATGACAATCCATCAAACCACTGTCAATCTCTTTATTGCTCTCCTCCACCTTGACTTGACTTGGATGGATGCAGATTAATTTTAAAGCCAAAACCATGGCTAAAGTCACGTCTTCTCTGGCTTGGGCTGGGTTTTAGATGAACGGTGACATTTTTAAGTCAAGCTCTAATAACAGCCTGCATGGCAAACAAGTGACACAGCAGCTATTTTCTTGTGCCTAATAAAGCTTCAAATCTTATCTCTAATTCCATGAGTAAATCCTGAAATTATAAGCGCTTTGGGATCATCTAGAGTAAGAATAGTGTAACAACAGCTTATTTATTTATTTATCCCTTCCTTGTCCTGATGACATTAACATTGAAAAATATTCAGGTGTCTCCAAATTGCCACCCTTCCCTCTTCTTCCTCAGTAAGGTCTGTATTATTAAGGGACAACCATGCTCTTCACGAACAAATGATCATTAGTGAAACCGTTTATCAGATATATTTTGCTTAGATTGTATCTTCAGCAATACTACTCGGACAAGTACTGTCCTTGTGCAAGGACAATTGCACTGATTTTGTAAAATAAAATCCATAAATTAATCTACCACTACATGCATATGTATCGACTAAGGACCGGATGAAATCTGTGAGAAACGGTCGCAAAATGAATGTATCGAGAGGATCGGTCACCGTCAGAGCGAGGATTGCCGTTTGCCACATCTCTTGTGCCAGAGGATGTCACAAATGTCTCCAATATTTTACATAAGCAATTGATACCGACAACAACGCCCCTCTATAAGTTAAGCTTTTTAGGACCTCATACATATGTGGACATCAGAAAACACGACTTAAAAATCTGAAACATTCGAAACATTCGAGAATGGAAAGACAGATGGACAAGGGTTCGTATACGAGGGTTTCACCCTAAATAAGTCTGATGGGCTAAGTTATATCACTACAAATTTATGCTAATGATGGTTAGAAAATAGTTCAATAGCAAAATTTTACATGGACCACTACTAAAAGAAATGGTGAGGGAACAATGGGTCAGATTTGGCAAAATGATAAGAAAATTACACCAAGTTTGACTGTCACGTTTATCTTTTATTTTGTTTGGTTCATCCAGCAACCAGATACCAAACCATCCTCATTCGAGTCATTTGTCTTTCCCCAAAGTGCTTCTGGTTCCAACACTTCCGTACAGTTTATTTACTTTACAACGTTTTTATGTATTCTTTGTGCTGGCCACACAAAAGCCAGCAGGGTTTTTAAGTTTTACACAACAAATAACAATACAATAATGCATTTGAGTTTGTATGTGACACCTTGAAATTTTGTTGACCACTGTCGTTCCAAGCATGGTGTTGTCCAACTGCCATTTCATTACAAGATGATTTCAGATAAGAAAATTGCTTTGATGGGAGTAATGAATATGATACTGCACCATACTGACTCCTGTGGAATTGTGCTGGGAGCATTCTTTGCCTCATTAACATGAAATAACAGATTCAAGAAGGGACAAGACAAATGGGTGGGATTGTTGATGGTTTGAATTTCTTGAGCTCACAAAGTAAAGCTATGGACGTGGAAGAGGAGACAAATTACGAGGATGACACTGTCGAGTATTAATTTCCCCAGCCATCATAATGCAGTCTGCCTGCCTGACTCACTTCCTTGGTTGCAAAACCTGATTTGATCTTCAGCCTCAAGGAATTGCCAGGTTAAGTTAATCAGTTTGGATTTCAGACGAACGCGACGCTCAGTTTACATAACAAGGAAAGTATGCATATGCACATTACCACGCGTTCTGTCGCACTTTTTCGACTTCAGACCCCAACCATACTGCGATGGAAAGATCAATTTAATTGATAATACAAAAAATGAAGGAAGTTGTCTGTGCGTTAGATCTGCCTGCAATAAGCGTTTCTTGTCCCATACAGAATTATTTACCACCAATTTATGCCATTCTCTCACCTCAAAAACTTTTCATTTCAATTGTAATGGTTATTGTTATTTCTTATGGGCTCATTTGTTACCTGTCTATTTTGAACACGAAGCATATGCAGCCAAAACCTTGGAAAGTATCTCCAAAGGAAAAATAAAAATAGCCACGACTAGCCATGCAATGTCGAAAAAATAGACGTGAAAAACATTGGAGAAGCGCGACCAATTCACTTTATTTAATAACTAAAGGCTGCAGTTTAGATGAAAACTTTTCATATGCGTAAATAACTCAGGTATGATTAGTACTAGGTGATTATTATTACAATTAATGTCAAAACTAACGACGTTTGCGACAAATGTTATAGCCTTCTAAAACCAAGACTAACCGTTACCAACACTTAACAAATTTTTGTGACAACCTCAATGAATTCTAGCTTTCTGATTCCAATCTGATTTTTTGTATATTTATTTTCAAATTAATTAGTGAGCATTGTACTCTGTTAGGAGGCAAATCTGGTATTAAATATGTTGTAATGTAATAAACTTTTTTGACATTCGAGGCTAAAAAATTTAATATTCGTTCATATACGATATGTATTTGTGCCTAATATCTGTAGCTCATATGATAATTAACAATATGATAATTGCATAAAAAATTGTGTAACGTCTCATAATTTTCATAAAATTTTAAATGTAAACTCATTTTTCAGGCGAAAACTGTTATTATTAACGTGATAATTTAAGGAAATGACAACTATTCGGCGCTACCAATATTTCACACAAGGTGAACTATTATACGTATGAGAGGAATAAATGAGGGATAATCTCCTAAAGTTGAACCGAGTCAGGTGCG